TGTTTTTCACTCTTTATCAGTTCCTATAAGAGGGCGAACACTCATTACATAAATAACCCCATCATATTTTTTACAACAACACTCGTAAGTATACAATAGTTTGCGGCTGAAGATTATGTATTTCTCACGATAAACTCGCTATTATGGTTATTCTTATCGGTTATTTGATGGCGGCACTTTATGAGTTTTTAGCACTGAATATCAATAGACTTCGGACTACTCGTGAAGCTCATGAAAGGCTATATTTGAACCTACACATTGATAACTATGTATAGTCATAATCCCCGGATTTGATAACGGCATTATTTTATAACTATTGCCTCCTCGAATTGTTTGATTGGTCTGATATAGCGGCTAAATATTTACCCGATAGGTAAATAGTGGTATAAAATATATTAGCATGTTACATGTTTTCATTATACCTATGTAAATGAATTCTGCCCCTGAACAAACTGAACATGGCCACTACGTTCCTGAATTCTCACAAATAATCTATTTTCTGTACAATATCTCGTAACATTTTAATTAAAATTTAAATACAGACAGTAGACATTTATTGTCGTTTCCATTATTATATAGTTACCTAATTTATTTTTGTTGTATTTGTTAATTAACACTAGACTCAAATACTTACGAGACTTACGAAACTTGTAATTAATCAGTTAGAAAGTGTATATAAAAAGCTAATTTAAGTAATACGAAGCTAGGACGGATCCCTTGTTTATAATAAATTAAACACAGCATACGTATATCTTAAGTTATGGAAGTATTTACCGTATTACTATATTAAAATATATACGACACACTTAGGTACTCTGTTCCAAAGATAATCTTACTTCAGGAGCCGAGCAGCCCACGTTGGCAATAATTTTATTATGATTAATTTGTTTCTGCTTTAAAACATAAAATATCTACTTACCTTGTGTTTGCAATAGCTATAAATAATAATAAAGTGTTGGAGTAAACTTTGTTGGAGGTAGTTAAAAGAATATAACGGCTCTAATGGTAATTCCAGCTCTGATGACGTGTGTTATGGAGCCGCGGAGGACCTAACGGTTTGCCGGGGCTCCGGTTCGAAGTCCAGGAGAAGGAACGGGGTGGTTTATAGTCAGTAAGAGTTTGACACTGAGTCTGCCTCACTCAGGCGGAAGAAGTTACTCTATGACTTTCCCCCTTAACTCGTCGAGTACCGGTTTTGTAGACACAATTATAGAACAATAGGTTGCGGTCACCGGTGACCGCTTGGTGTTTGACAGTTTAAAACGGCTCTGTACGTATTTAAAGTGTGTACTATACTTACAATAATACATAGATATGAACATATCTGCCTAAATGGTAAAAAAGTTCATAGCAACAAAAACTAAAAAATGGTACATATCTACCTAATTGTACAAAACTTGACATTACCCACACATAGAGTGCAATGGTCAAAGGTTCACGATAATACAACAATTGACACATTGTGATGAGTGTGTATTTCAGATTCTTTGATTTTATAATAGGTAGGTATTACAGTTACAGATCCACGTAATAAAAGCACGTTAAATTCGATTTCAATTCAGGTTTAAGACTAGGGCTCCAAAATTCTTATTCAGCAGTTGGGGTTCCGTCCAATATACCACAGGAGCACAGGGTAGTAAAAAATGTTCTTGTAATTTTTGCAAAGACGGGTTGTAGCGAATAGCGAAGTATTCTACATTAAAATGTTTAACCCAAACAGATAAGATGTACCAACCTCACTTAACCTAGTTCTTAAAATTCACGGACAGGGACCGTGTTGAAAATTATAGGCCTATATCTATACTACCATCGCTGTCTAAAATTCTAGAAAAAATCATAAACAAAAGACTTGTCAATTACCTTGAACACAATAAATTACTATCAGATGAACAATACGGCTTTCGCCATGGACGCTCAACTGATGATGCAGTTAGCAATCTCACCAATTATGTTTCAACTAATATTGATGAAGGAAATAAGGTTGTTGCAATATTCTTAGACTTAGCGAGGGCATTTGACACGGTCTCAGTCCCGATCCTTTTACGTAAATTGGAAAGAATTGGTATCCGGGGAACACAGTTGAGTCTGCTGGCAGATTATCTTACAAATAGACAGCAATGTGTTAAAATTGGCTCTTACATCAGTACTGAACTACCTGTATCTTTCGGGGTGCCCCAAGGGAGCATTATTGGGCCGACACTCTTTCTCGTCTATATAAATGACCTCCTTTGTCTCAACTCATTCCCTGGAAAAATACTCTCATACGCAGATGATACTGCCCTTGTTTTTGCAGCAAAATCTTGGCAAGACACTTTTAAACTGGCTCAGGAGGGTTTTGACAGAGTGAGGAAATGGCTTCATGTCAATGTTCTCACGCTCAACGTTCATAAAACCAAATGCCTTACCTTCTCAATTCGAGCCAATCCTAATACCAATCTGAAGCTAGTCGTTCACAAATGTCCCTCGCAATCACCGAATGTCCTAAACTGTCAGTGCGAACAGCTTGAAGCTTCAGAATCAGTAAAGTACCTGGGCGTTAGGTTAGATAATAAACTCAATTTCAAGGCCCATATACATGAGCTGAGTAAAAGAATTCGCAAGCTTACTTACCTATTCAAAACCTTAAGGCATGTAGTAACTCCACAAATCCTTAAACGGACCTACCAGGCTCTTTGCCAATCACTCATTACTTATTGCATATCATCCTGGGGTGGAGCACCAAAAACCACATTAAAACAGCTCGAAGTCTCACAAAGAACCATCCTTAAACTATGTACCTTCAAACCCTTTCGCTATCCGACCAAACTACTCTACGAATACTGTGAAGTACTGACAGTTCGACAACTTTTTTTATTAAATATAGTACTAAAACAACACTCCAAATTGTTATATAATCCCGACATAACCTCTAAGCGGAGACACTTCACCGTCTGCGAACGCACAATAATGCCAAGAACTAGTTTTATACATAGATTTTACCCCTTCCTGGGTGCCCATATTTACAATAAAGTTAATAAAAATATTAACATCTATCACATGAAGAAGGCTTCAGTAAAAAAAGCACTTTCTAGCTGGCTCTTGAAACTGTCTTATGATCAGACTGAGGATATACTTACTGTACTTAAATAAATTCTCTTAGTTTATATATTCACCTATGATAAATGTAGAAATCACATAATCATATACAACAGCAATGTAGACTCAATTGTCATAATTACTCACCCTCTGACACACATACACTCATTTTTCACTTTATTCATACAGAGGACTTTTACTCACTATAGTTTACAATTTATTTTATTGTTAAGCATGTTATTTCTTACGTTTAAATGTTTGTATACCCAGATTTAGTTTTTATAATTTACAAACTTGCTCCGAGGATTGAAGCGCTGCGAGCTGAAGCACAGGCTTAAGACCTATTTCAGCAACAGATGCTAAAATTGTTTTCATGATACAAATATTATGTAAGTTATATGATAGACATTATGTTAAACAAAATTGTGTAAACTCTTTCTTGATTCAATAAAATTTATTATTATTATTATTATTATTTATTTAAGGGCGTTGGCGGGTTAGCTATTAGCCATCTCATATTTCCTTCATCTTTCATCTAGACATAGACTAATCTATCATCTAGATAGATATTTTTATGAAATACATAAATTATTTTGAAGTAACTATTGAAGATTTAATGATTGCACTATTAGACGGGTGGCTGGTTACTGCGTAACGTATTGCTGGTTCGATTCTAGTACGATAAATTCTCCGTGATCCGCAAATTGTCATTCCGAGTTTGGATGACCCATATATTAAATATTGCATTGTAGAAAGTTATAACTACTGTTTGTTAGCAATATGTGTCCAATAACCGAAATATTGCCATCGAACACAATGATCTTAAGTAACTGGTAGAAAGAATAATAATCTATACTAATATTATAAAGCTGCTGAAGAGTTTGTTTTTTTGTTTGTTTGATTAAACGCGCTAATCTCCGTAACTACAAGTCTGATATAAATAATAATTATTTTTGTGTTGGATAGTGCATTTGCGAGCATGACTATAGGCTATACGAATAATAGGAGCTATGCAGAGCGAGTGACACCGCGCGCAAGTAGCTAGTCTATTTAATATAAATAAAATATACCCACGCCTACTGTCAAATAATTTACAAAATAGAGCAGTCTGGACATCATATGGACACAAAATGTATCCCTTTGTCACCATGAATGTAGTGTCCCACGGGATTTCATTGATATCACTTGCTTTGTAAACATAATAAATGGTTTTATAATGATCGGCTACATTTGTCGTAGGGTTGAAGTTAGTTGCACCTACAACCTACGTACGTAGATGCCATTGTCACTATTGACCATTTTCAAAAGAAAATATGTTGAATGTTTTTCGCAGAAATCCACATATATATATAGGTATCTTACATAGAATTTATAGATTTTATAACGTCGTCTAATATACTCAATGAAAATAAATTCAAGATTTATATCTTACTTAAAAAACAATTTGATTTTAATGTGATTTTCAGTGTCTTCATAAATGACATTCAAACTCTATCTATACCAATAATTATTCTGGCATAAAAATAAACGTTTAAATAATTGTGTCACCAATTAATCTGATTGGTTAATATTAAAATTTATAAAAAGAACGTACATCAGCACAAACTCTATCTCATAGGTCCATTAGCCAAGAGATTTTTATGTTTTTAGAGGTATACTTTTTTAAGTTTTTTTTTTAAATTCTCATTCTATTCAGATCCTGTCAACCAGAATACAATATCATTTTATTCAGATTCACAAATTAATGTAGTCATAATATTATTATATCCATGGCATATCATAGTCGTGTAGTAGTGTGTCCATTAACAAAAACCTCTCAATGTGTGCGTAATATTTTTAAAAACAAACAGCCTTGTGTAGGTGCACATGTTGGCCTTATAAAGGCTTGGGCGGCGCGCTTATCGTCCTATATAATCACAGGAGCTTTCGCGCACCGCTACTGCCTTCGGTTGCCGATCAAACCGCCTACCGAACGTTTCGAAAATACTCGTTCTAAAGTGAAGTTGCAGTTGTTTGTTTGAAGTTCTTATTTCAAATTACGCGCTTCTTTTATATTCTGTGAGTATTCAATTTTTTTATGATAGATTAATTTTTTTATAGTGTTTTCTTTACATTATTGTATTTTTGTTGTGGCTTATTGATGATGGGTTTTGTTACTTTGGCACTGAATTTTTCTGTAAAATTCGCTGCTAAAAATTTAAATTGAAACATTAAATTATTAAATATTTTAACTTTTTAATACATCTAAATAATTATGCTGAAATTGCTACTAGAACGTTTTTATTTACTTACATATAGAAGGTATCTTTGTAGTTCTTACGTTAACAAAACAATATAAAAGTTTCTAGCAATATAAAAATATAATAGGACTAATAGATTAGTTACTGAAGGTTATGGACCTTATTAGATAAGCTTATACTGAAAATAATAAACAAACAGATTTAAAAAAAAAAAATAATAGAAAATAGATTAAACATTTAATTTCATCGAAAAATTTGGTTGAATAAGCTTATGGAACCTAAATAAAATAAAACCAATATAAAATTGTTTCTCTAAATTTCTTTTTGGTTTTCTTTAATAAATCCATTGAATTAAATGACGAAACTATAACGCATTTTCCATTTTTAGAAACAATTTATGATTAATTTATTTATCCCACAAATACCCATTTAAATAGAAATTTGATGCGGATATTCTCTTTCGTAATATGTTATGAAAAAGGGATTTCCTTAATTCGATGGGGTTTCCCATAATTTACATATTATGTACGTCCCTATATTATTTCCTGCATCATTTTCTTGTGTATAAAATAGGGAGATGACATAGACAAACTCCATTTTAATTGCAACCTTTTTGGTGAACGTATCAAATTGAGTGGGTTGAATAAAAAAAACAATTTTGTCGAGCAGGTGAGTTATACGCAGATTTTATTTTTTTTATTTTACGTTAATTTAATTTTTTGTACTACAGTCAATCCGTAAGACTTTTATGTCGGTGAAAAACTTTACTTCACTGTAATTGATAAAAAAACTTTTGTACTAATATCATTTAGTTGCAAATAGAAATATTTTGTTAATTAAAAAAAACAAACAATTAAATTTTACATAACTTTACAGTTTGTCCTTTTTGATATTTCCAAGCCTTTCTAAAATCAATAATTCTTTACTCTACTCGTAAGAAATCTTCGATGAATTAACCAAAGACCAATGAGCATCAAATATTTTACAGACAACCGTAACATTTACAAAATAAAATAACAATATACTATGATTGTACAAAAAACAATACTTAATTAATTAATTACGGTGGGCCGTGGGCTATTGTGCCACCGTCGTAGTATAAAAATAAAAAAATTAATACACCAAAATAACTAAAACATGAATACAACTTTTTCTAAATGATAAACGTCAAATATTTATACCTAGATAAGCGGAGTAAGACCGAAGTAGTTATTATCCCTTCGAAATAGAGATATTGTAGCTTGTCATTCAGCAATCACACGGGCTTTAAGTTCATACAAAAGGATCACTGCAATGTGTCGCTCCGTTAAATTCATATTTACTTCTGTTATTTTCATTTCCAAAGGATATGTTCTGTAAAACCATTTGGGCAATGTAAACGTTTGTGTTTTAATGGTCAGTGATTAGACTATATATGTATATACGCGTAAGTTGTTATGTATTACAATGTATTGCTGGGTTTAAAAAAAATAATTTAAATCTCAGTAGTAGCACGGAGTCTGGAATTGTGCCCAGTATATAGCCATAGGCTCACCCCGTATTACATGGGACTCATAACATAAATAGTGAAATGTGGGTGTTACATTGTACAAAGGCATTAAGTGCCGTAATGTGCATCTCTGCCTGTCCCTTCAGGGATAAAAGGTGTGATGTTATGTATGTCAAAGTATACACGGTACAAGTTTTAAACTAAGACCGCACAGTACTGTAATCAAATTATTAAGCAAACCAAATAATACCTGTTTATTTTATTCAGCTGTGAATAACTTGCATTAATCTGAATCAACATTTTTCTTTTAATTATAATAACAATGTCTTTATTATACAGAGATGTGTACTATTAGAGCCTTGAGTAGTAATTAATATTTTCATGTTTAACTAAAGATTGAACCTTGGTCTACATTCTGAAGTACAAACAATAGTGCAGGCTCTAATCGCCGTGTGATACGGATGATCCGTGCTCCCGCATAAATCGGCATACGTCTTTCTTCAACATTTTTTTTTAAGGAATAAGGTTTTTCCTGCCTCTTTATTCCGTAGCGCAATTGTTAAATTATTTGAGGTATCTCTGAATCATTTTCCTATAATTTTTGTTTTATTCTCTGTTTACTCTTGCTTTCAAAAACCGCCTACCATATGCAGGAATAATGGCTAACTCCCCTTAACAGGAAAACCTTTGTTTAGCTGCGCACTTAAAATATATCTTTGTGAATTGAAGACAGATTAAAAAAGAAAACCTTACAGAAATCTGACGTGAAACAACTCTTACGTTGTGTTTCGTCGTATGACCGGTTACCGGAGGCATAATTAGCCCCTCCCCAGTCTCCCCTATCTCCGAATTCCCCACAATCCTTAAGTTCCTAATTCCAAAAAGGCCAGTAACGCACTTGTAACGCCGCTGGTGTTTCAGGTGTCCATGGGCGGCTCGGATTGCTTACCATCAGAAGATCCGTCTGCTCGTTTACCTAGGCTAGTCCCATAAACAAACCTTATAATGCTCAATATTTAAAAATCATTTTCCAATCATTTTTTGTCAATCTTAGTCCTGTTTAGTTAGCGATTTACTTTAGACGCTATTGTTTGCTGCTTCAGCCAGCCGACCTATGCGCCCTATATCGCCGATCCAGCGACCTGCTGCATTTGAAATGTGTTGATAATCTTCGGCAAACTTACTTGTTTGAGTTAGTCACTATAGAAGATTATATTTTTTTATAATAAAACCAATTAAATGTATAATAACAGATTAATTCTCTCATGTTTATCTAACAAAAAAAAATCGACAAGAAATCGTAATGGTCTGAAGAGCTATAAACTAAAGGGCCATTTCCTATGTGAGCTGAAGCGGTGTTGCTATTCTTAATTATATTCTAATAATATTGTCATTGCTATTGGAAGTAACTTTCCTTGGACAAAGGCCAATGTTCAACAGTACACATCTCGTTTTCATAATAACTATCGTGAGACATACTAAATTAACTAAAAATCCAGGGTTATTCACGTGAATGTACTGAGCAAAGCTCTACTAGTTTCGAGCCACAGACACAGTACACATTGTTTTTTTTTTTTAAGCTGATAAGTTGATAATGAATTTTGTTGTTTCCTCAGGTTTGTCCCGTGTGTGATGACCATCCAGCGATGATGTACAGCCCCGTGCCGTTGTTGCTCCTAGTCCTCACAAGTACCCTCGCAGCTCCTGCCATGTATGACGACTACACGGTAAGTTTTATTTGAAACCTCGTAAGCCAAAATGTTCTAGAAGTATGAGTATGCAGTTATGCACCCTTATCAAATCCGTTAAGATCATGAAAAAGTAATCAAACGTTACTTGTGAGCTTCTCAACAGCTTTCTCCAGGAAAGCAACTTTAGATTATTTAGATTAAACAAAAATTACAAATACAAAATTTGTAAATGTAACGTAACACCTTTTATTTCCGAAGGCCATTTCGGCACTTAATGTCATTGTACAATGTAACACCCACTTTTCATTACTTATGTTATTAGTCCCATGTAATAGGGGGTGAGCCTTACTACTAGCTTCTAGCCGGCTATATAGTTAGGCTATAGATCCGGTATATACCGGGCACGTTTCCAAACTCCGTGCTACTACTGAGATTTTTTTTAAACCCAATAATACTTAGCCCGACCCGGGAATCGAACCCGAGACCCCTTCCCCGCAGTCGCACTTGCGAGCACTCGACCAACGAGACATTTGTAAATATGTTTTCCGATATATTTACTTTTCAAAGTATCTATTGTATCTATAAAAGTATTTAAAACCTATTATTATCGGGTATCACAAACAATTTGAAATAAAGAACAGACTCAGAATATCTAAGTTCTGAGAATTAGGTCATGCACACACGATAGTTAGACTCTGCCGCGCTCGAATTAGGGCTGGCTTTGGATGACAAGCGTGACAGGCATTGCGCTGACATATAGGGATGATGCTACTACTGTAAGGTCGCAGATAGAGTATTTGTCGGAGGTCATCTGAATTATAGCCGTGATCCAAGTGGTTGATTAAATGATTGTAGTGGACAATTTTGTGAGCCTTCAACGTGTTTATTCCAAATATTTGATGTGTCCAATTAATAATTAGTGAACTAGTGTATATTCGGGTGCGTATAAGTTTTAACTTTATTAAAAAAAATACATTTTTAATCAATGATATCAAGAAAGGATTTAGGCCGGTATCGCACTTGTAACGCCTTGCTGTTTCGAGTGTCCATGGGCGGCGCCGATTGCTTTCCATCAGGTGATCCGTCTGCTCGTTTACCGGCTTATGCTATAAAAGAAAAGAAAGCAAAAAAGTAATATCGCGTAACTTTCCTTGTTAATAGTTTATTTTTGTAATATTAGAAATATTTGCAAGGGCGGATACGATATTTTATAAGTAGCCACACTCTTACTTAATAATTACATGGTAGTTATAAAATTGTATAATTCAAGTCAAATGTCAGACTTAAAATAAAGATGTAAGTACGTATGTATACACTCGTCTTCAGAAAAATGTCGTCGAGATAAAAATATTTCGTAATTTTACTATGTTGTCGTTGTCAGGAACATGATTTCGATTAAATCAAGATAACAAGAATACTTATATGTTATACAACTACATATTGCTTTGTTTTTTGTTCATACAAATGTTATCATTTATATAATTTCTTAGTTAGGTAACGTGTTGTCCTTATAAATTATATCGACGCTCCCAACCAAGAACTCGGTAATGTGCTATTATCGGGTTTATGCTGTTATGTCAATTTCGGCGCGTATGGACTTGAATACACCTTGACAATTTTTCTCAGATTTTTCCTAATAATAGTTACAAAGATATCATGACGCACATGTTTATTGTTGGGAATTAATACACAATAATATCTCGGCAAAAAACATGTTATACATCTGTACGAAAAAACAATTTATATTTTATTTTGGTAAGTTGCGATTACCGGGTTATTGCCGTAAATAATTTTCATGAAGATTTAGGTAAACGTGTGTACGGGGTTTTTGTTGAATTCATTGTAAAATACGTATTCCGTAATACACACTAACAATGTTATTGAAGATTGGTATTGGCTCATTAATGTACGTAATATTTTATATTACGTACATTAATGAGCCAAAGTTATTGTGGTAATTTAAATAATATTTGAAATTACCACAATAACTCCGTAAAAACACGTTATGTATCAGCCCCACGATAAAAAAAAACCCCGTAGAAGTCCATAATATAATGTTATGAAATATTTCATTTGATAAATTTACTGCAATAATCCCGTAAGTACTATTACCATAATATTTTATGTATAAAATTTTAGGTATTATTTATTTTCCTAAATTACTAGGTATTTAATAAAAGGAATGTCATTTTAATGGCACAGGTATATTCCGCAAAAAAATAGCTTTCATTTAACACATCAATGACTTCAATAGTCCCACTCGTTGAAAAGGTATTTGATAAAATCAGTAAATCTATTCTCCTGTAAAATTTTGATTTATCGATTACTGGGTTATTGTTTGGAAGCGTCGATATATAAAAGCCATGCTAGAGGCTCATATTCATGAGCAGCGCGACAGTCGCCGCGTCGCGTGTCGCGAAATGCTGCTCATGAATATGAGCCTCTAGCATGGCTTGAAACTAGTCGAGTTCCTCGTCGAATTACGACGTGAGTAAGCCGAATACATAATAATTTATCGAGTTGTCCTTATGTCCAGGATGTTTTTCAGCATAACATACTTAGTTTTCATTTCATTTATTTATTTATTCATTTGAAAATTTACATTGTGTCTGAAATTTAATAAAAAAAAGAGACAAACAAATTCACATTACGTAAACATAATCACATACACAATAATAATAATAATAATCGAATTTAATTAATTTAGGCTTCTAAGCAAGGCGGTTTCTAATGTCAAGAATCTAATCAATACATTCAATATACAGTTTCAGAAGTACTTAGTTACATCATTATTTACTTCTCTTGTTAGCATCATAGACAAACAAATTCAAAGACAATGAACTATATGAAAATAAGTTTCAATTAGCAGGAGGCGAACCTATTACCAATCTCTAGGGTAAAGACACAGTTCCCAACTTCGTGTTCTTCAAGACGTGAAACAATCTTACTTCCTTGTCCAATTATTGGTCTAGTTTACCATTATTCGATCATTTAAATAAAAAAACAAAAGTTAAAAATAATATTTTTTATGATACAGGAGGTGGTACCCCAGAAACGAGCAGCCTTGGTCCTGGACAGGCTGCTGGTGGCTCTGCAGAAGGCGCTGCATGAAGACAGCGGGCCCCAACGAGGGTACCAACGCATCGACCCCAACGGACCGAGAACAGCACCACTACGCATTGCTGACGATGAGATGAATGACTTGGTAACATATCATACATTGCTTTAAACCAGTAGAAAATATTGAACATTACATTTTGGGTTCTAACTTCTACAAATCAAGGTTGAATTTTATCTCAGCGAGTTTTATCCGTTGTGGTTTTTAAGAAAATGCTATAAAATGTTTATATCGATACTCTTTTATAATGTAATAAGATTACTCAATAAATGTATTACATTTTTAGCACCGATATGACCTTCTAAGTATCGTTATTGGTAACGAAAAGATAAGTCAAAGATCGTAAATTTAAATTTGTCAAACGCCTGCATTAGATATTACGACTTTCGTAATATGGTACGGAAAATGTAATTGACATAAACGTAAACAACCACCATACTTTACCAAATTATTATAGAACTAGCTGTTTTGCCCGCGAATTCGTCCACGTCGAATATGAGTTTTAGTATATAACTTTATTTGTTGGAAATAATACTTCTTTATACCTCAGCTACCTGCCAGTAAAAGTCCCGTCAAAATCGGTCCAGCCATTTCAGAGATTAGTTCGTACAAAATAGACAGAATAAAAACAAATAAGAAATGTTATTTTGGTAATGATGTATCGTATGTATATTCATATGCAATATGCATGTAGTAAAAAGAGGTTATTAAAACATTACAAACAGACACGCCAATTTTATTTATCTTTATAGATTTCTCCGTAGCAAATGTGTTGATGTGCTACGCGTCGTAGCACGCGTAGTCGTTTCGTAGTAGCGTCGTAGGCTTGCTACTGATTCGTAGAATACATTGATGAATTACTCTAGGATTATTATTATACGTAACTTAATACTGATTAATGTATGCAATAATATTCAGTTCCGGACTCATAGCTGATACATATTTAGTTCTATGAAGGCTATACAAATAACATTGAAATGTGTTACATTCGCGTAGGGGCCAATTTATATAAAGTTACAAGGATACAAGCCTTAACGAGCAGGTAAATTACTTATGGCCCTGTAATAGAAATATGTTGCTTGATACTTTGAACACCGTTTATAGCCTAAGAAACGTGGGGAGTTAGAAACAATTTATTATAACTCACACAGAATTGAATTGGATTGCCTTTATTGGCTCCAGCAGCTCAATTTTGTACTGTTGTACATTATCATCTCTGTAGGTAAATATGTATAAAGTTTGTATCATCTATTAACCGGCTTGTTCTGCTACATACAGGTGCTATTTCGTAGGTATTTCTATTTTTTTTTTATATTTTCTTTACGCAGACTGTCGAAGTTATGACCAATGTGTTAATTTTGGTTATTTGGTTGGTACTAAGTAATCTAAATAGAACATTTGAAAGTATTATGGGCGAATAGCTGTTAGATAGTAACAGTGTTTTTTTTTAAATAGGACAAGATCGCCACTGTCTCCCAAAACCGCTGCAACTCCTGTAAGCGAGGATCTACAGTATAGCGACAGTGATGATATATTTGAGTACTTTAAAACACCTCGTTATTTCCACGCGTGCCTCAAAGAGCCATTAGACCACTACAGATGGGGCCCAATAGAGTTGATGCCGATACGGAGTCGCGGAGGAGTTAACGGGTTGCCGGGGCTCTGGCTCGAAATTCGGGAGTAGGAACGGGGTGGGTTTTAGTCAGTAAGAGTCTGAAACTCCCTCTAACCTCACCTGGGCGGAAGAAAACATTGGACGATTTTCCTACCTCAAAGAAAATACCCCTCGTTATCGTTGATATTCGAAGTCACAATTTATTTTCTATAGATCACCTTTTTACTCAGCTTAAGTAGACGTGAACGTCATACCACCATAAATATTGTAAATATTATTATAATATTAATAATATTACAAACCATACATGTTATAAGCACAGTTTTAATTATGTATTCTCATGGGGGTTGAGTTTGACTCCTAGTTAATGAGCCCATCGACCAAGCCTACGTGATTGGGCGAGTTCAATTCAAGTTTAACGACCCGTTTTCAAATAAAGAGGTATTATCTATACTTGTCTTTCTATGTCAAATGTTATGTATATTTGTTTACTAATGACATTTATGTCATTTTGATGAATCTTATCATCATTAACAGTAACAACTATAATTTACTGCTAGACTATCCCCTTATATCGTAGTTCAATAGTTTCTCCAGAAATCGCCTTTATCATAAGGGAACTCGGAGCCCGTGCCCATGACCGCCATCCTCAGGGGCATCCTTCGAGGCCTTAAGGACGTACAATTTCTACGACAGACAAGCACCCGCTACATGTTCCGCGGTAACCACCTACCGTGCAACGTGTAGTGGGCTCGATTCCCGCACGGAACAAATCTTATTGTGATTCACAAATTATGGTTTCGGGTCTAGGTGTCATGTGTATGTGAACTCGCATGTTTGTAAAAGCATCCACGATACAGGATATAAATCTAGTGTGGGATACGTACCTAATTGTGTGCGTACCAGACGCAGCGTAGTCTAATGGCCGGTTTCAATAACCTATCTATCTCTATCTGTCGCGGAGAACCTAACGGGTAACCGGGGCTCCGGCTTGACGTGCAGGAGAAGGAACGGGGTGGTTTTTAGTCAGTAAGAGTCTGAGACTCCCTCCCGCCTCACCCAGGCGGGAGCAGTCATTCGATGATATTCCCCCCTTAAAAAAAAATCCATCTCTATCTGTATATTTGCTTACTAAAGATAGAATTTTGACACAAGTTCCATACAAAATATGTCAAAATTCTATCTCTAGTAAGCAAATCTACAGATAGATACGTTATTGAAACTGGCCGTAAGACTAGGCCTAGGTTGTATGAACTCTGTCTTTCTAGCCACTTAGTCGTGTCTTACGACGCCCACGCTATGTGACAAGGAGGGGTACTGCCAAATTCATTTATTTGTGTTATAAACACAGTGACACAACAAATATTGTTCTCATATTCGGTAGTTTTAAGAAGTTTAGTACTTCTCAAAACTCTAATATAAGCTGATCTTTTGTAATATTGGCGATTTTCCAGTGTCCTGTGCTCTTTTATCTTATCCTTTTATGTCTACATCAACCATAATAACCATTTTGGTTTATGGGCTAGCTCATTGGAGCAAAGAATCTAAATCAATTTTGCTATCACACAAAAGAAATTAGATAATCTATTCAAAGATGGTTTGGAAAAAATTATATTATATGTACAATGGTATATGATGCTATTTGGGTCACATAGGGCAAAGGTCAACTACCTTAAAAAAATGGACATTGACATCTATATTTGCTATTGTGGGTTGAAATTTCTAAAAGTTTTACTACAAATGGCGACATGTCTATTGTGTTTAACTTTCTATTTTTCTGTACATTCAGTAGGTAGGTTGTACCTGTAATTAGGTAATGAGAAATGTGTGTTCAATTCCAACATGATGTTTTAGTATAGCTACTGAGTTCAGAGTTCAATAGTCTAGCCTCTATTTTAATAAGATTATGATCATACAGGGTGTCCCTAAAGTCGACGATCAAATGGCACTAGGTAATGGATAAAGTATCAGTAGTTATTAGAAAAATATAAAAAAATACATACATACATTACATACATCACGCCTTTGATCCCCGAAGGGGTAGGCAGTGGTGCACATTATGCCACTGTACAATGTAATACCCACTTTTCACTGTTTATGTTATGAGTCCCATGTAATAGGGGGTGAGCCTATTGCCATATACCGGGCACAATTCCAGACTCCGTGCTACTACTGAGATTTTTTTTATAACCCAGTAATACTTTGCCCGACCCGGGAATTGAACCCGAGACCTCTTGCTCAGCAGTCGCACTTGCGACGACTAGGCCAACGAGGCAGTAAAAAGATTATATGGCATATAGTTTCTAAATTACAATTACTTATTTGTAATCCACGATATACTTCAGAGACACTCTGTATATGTCTTCTGAAGTATATCTTATTCATGTATCGTAAATAAACCTATTGGATATTATTTGTTACAGAGTGCACTACAGCGGCGTGGTAGCGGCAATGGTCGGGGCAGAGTCCTTCGATGTTACTTCAATGCCGTCACCTGCTTCTAATATACCAAAGTTCACTATTAAATATTGTATATGAATAAACTATCGCAGCTATAGTGTAAAATAAGTATTATTGTACTGCATAACGAGGGATTACGACGCATATTCTATAAGTACCTACATATAACTCTTTAATTAATATTTAAAATAGGTTTCTTTGTTGACAAGAGCTTTTTAAATTTTATTTTCTTCTATCCTGTGATTCATTAGTGCCAAGTATTGGATAATATCTTTGAGCCTTTATTCCTTAACTTAGAAGGAATTTGTGTTTGCCTTTTCTTTTTAACATTATGAAAATGATAAGGACAGATGCGTTTCCAATTGAAGTTTATTGAATGAAGAGGTAAAAGTATTATATTGTATAGAACCTTATTGATTCAGTCTACGAATTTATTCCCTGTAAATATCCAATAATAAAATTTTGTTGCAATACTTTGGTGGTTTATTTACAGTCTCATGATAATTTGAAGAAAGTTTTGTATGGATGCCCAGTCGCCCACGTTTGTGTACTATTACTACAAATGTTATTACACTGTCAACTTTATTAATAGTGACGGAAATAACTTTGTTCAACTTTAAGATGATGGTGAACCTTTATACAGCTTCAAACTAATTCATTCATACATTTTAAGTTATTGACTGTTAGTAGATAAGTATTGAAGGGAAATCTTGGCTAGTGATACAAACATGTACCAGATGGGTTAAGTATAGTACCTAAATTGTGAGTGTTTTACAGTTATTTTTGAGTTTTTACTCTACGATAGTTCAGGGACGGATTTGGATAGATAAGGCTAGTTAGGCTCCACATAGTGTAGGGCTTTGATGGTTAACATTACCCCGATTATTAATCAAATCTCTACATATCCAGACATTAGTCTACCTAATTTAGACACATCCTCGTGTCTGCTTTACCAAGACCTTGGTCTAAAAGCGATCGTCAACAAACTAAAAGCCGCAGCCCACGTGTTCTTTAAACACGTGAATATTCATCACACTCGTGTTTGGACTAAAACAAATATATCGCAAGTGCCTCAGGTTTCTCATATTATTAGATTGGCCATCCATGAACCTTGTTTTGTTAGGCTTAACGAGTTGTTATTGAAACTCCTATGTTCCCACAAACAACTTTTAGTTTTAATGTTATGCTGATTAGGATTTTTGCGAAATTATGTTTTATTTATGTCGTTTTGAATTTGGTTACTAAGTTTATTTTAGCAAACAGCAGGTACTGTTGAGAAGGGGGTCCGTAATCGATTCCGGAAAAGGTTTGAACATTAATCACCACGCTTGCTTAATGCGGGTTGGTGATTTGAAACTTATAATTAGAAATTATAAGCCTAGGTTTCCTCACGATGTTTTTCCTTTACCGTTTGTCAGTGGTGTCTGAATAATTTTAGAAAGTTCATATAACTCGGAAAAAGTCACATTGGTACTTGTCGTTGGTAGGTTTCGAACCTACCAACGACATGCATGAGAAGCAACCCTCATGCATGAGAAGTGGGCGTCTTAAACCTCCGGTCCACTACGACTATGGCCATCACGACTATTGTCTCTTCCTATGCCAATCTTATACTGTGAAATTATACAGAAAGCTCTGCTTATACCTTGCGAGCGTAAGATATTTGACCTTGACTGCACGATTGGTGCGGTGGCTGGGCAACCGGCTGCCGTGCAACGTGTTGCGGGTTCGATTCCCGCACGGAACAACACTTTGTGTGATCCACAAATTGTTGTTCCGGGTCTGGGTGTCATTGTGTATGTGAACTTGTATGTTTGTAAACGCACCCACGACACAGGAGAAAATCCTAATGCGGGGCAACGTTTTTTAAGAAAAATAAAAGATATTATATTCTCTTTCCTCCAACCAATAAAATAATTAATTTGTGACGCAACACGCAAGCTCTTAGACTACAGATATTTGACGCAAAAAATTAAAACATCGTAAAAAAGTTACGACTACTCCTACACATCCCTTATTATATTAAAAACAATAAATGTAAGCGATAATTTACAACACAAGCTGTTATAATATGAACCTTTAATAACATTAGATTGTTACGTAAGCAGAGTGGTAGCAAAGAACTGGATTTTTTGCTGCCTGCACCACTGCAGATGGATCACCTGATGGTAAGCAATCTGCGTCGCCCATAGACACCTGGAACAGGTAATTGGGCCTCCGGTAACCTCACTCACACGACGAAACACATCGCAAGCGTTGCTTCACGTCGGTGTTCTGTGAGGCCGTGGTATTACTCCGGTCGAGCCGGCCTATTCGTGCCGAAGCATGGCTTTTCCACACTTGAAATAATAAAATAAGGATAATCTAAATTGGAGAAAAGAAAAATATTTAGTACCATCTGAGTGGACTCAATTGCCTCAAAGGATTGCAGGGGATTCATCGTCATCTTTGTGAGTTATAACGGACCTTTATCTGGACAAACAGTACACCAATAATGGAAAAACTAAGTAGTAAATGTAGTTATTTACAAAAATAACAATTTTTCCTTATCTAAAATTTCCTCATTTTTGCGAACCTTTACAATGACAAAACTAGGAAAAGCAGGATTCCCATGTAATACGTGCGTTTGTCTACCACTTCTGAGAAAAAAGGAAAGGATGCCGCTATGTACGAAAATTTGATTAGACGTGTCTGGAGTACAAAAACAATTGTGAAGGTCCAACAAGTAGGTACCAGCAGAACCAGAGAGTCGGTCAAGTAGGTACCTATGTTGAATCCTTTGATATTGTCGGTCCCTCAAGGGGACATTAGGTAGGTAAAGTACATTGAATGACTAATTAGATTTTACGTAATTATGGAGGTGAGGTAAGGGAGCAATTTTTTATTGTTGACAGGTCTTTAATTATAAAAGGAACACTAGATTTATTATTTTTAAAGAATAATACTGCCGATCGGTTTAATTTTAAACGTAGAATATTGATCACGTAGGAAATATAAATAAAATTCTTAAATAACAAAAAATAATAAAAACATCTCCTGTTATGAAATAAGCATTATAATCTACATCTTTTTTTTATTATTTGGTTCACAAAACTGAATACAATCAAACATACATATAAAATACGGTAACAAACTTAATTAAGATTATATCCTACTAGATGTGGACACAGCATGCATAATAGAGAAATCTTACATTACTAAATGGAAACAAAAACTTTAGTTTAAAGTGTGTAAAAAGATCTTCGTATCTTCTTGAAAGAGGCAAGAGAATCGAGGCGGAAGACATCAATGTCTTTACAAATGTTATTAGAATAACAGCACATACGGGTACGGTACATGGGCGAGTGCTGGCCAAGATTTGTTTTCGAATGCGCTGGGTGAAAAGTCTTTCGATTGCATATCCGACTACCCGCTCGCGGTACAGAAATAGCCACGCGTTGCAGTATATCAGGAGAATCGGTAAGGTTGTGTATTAATTTGTATAGAAACATAATATCGGCTATTTTTCGTCTTGTGCCAAGAATTTCCATCCACATCTCATTATCTAATATCAATATAGGTACAAACACCTATTAAGAGCTTCATGAAATTCCAACACATAGAATGGTCTAAGATAATCAAATCATATCCTACCAATTACTCTAATGGACAGAATCCTAGAACTTTCCACATTGTATATCGTAGTATAACACAATAATAATGAAGTTATAAAATTCAACCACTTAAGTCATAAATCCTTTGCAACATTGGTCATAAAATAAACTGAATGTTAAATGCATTAACTAGACCATTATGGTGTTATTATGGTTTTATCATGGGGTGCAGAGAGTACAACATACCTATATAAGTTGCTGCTTTTAAGTGTGGGCAAGTCATGATTTGGCACGAATGCGCCGGCTCGACGGCAGTAATACCACGGCCACACAGAAAACCGATGTAAAACAATGCATGCGTTGTGTTTCATAGCGTGAGTGAGTCCCCAACTATCCTTAAATTCCTAATCCCCAAAACGCTGGTAACGCACTATAGAATAAGCCGAGAGTACGAGCAGATGGATTACCTGATGGTAAGTAATAGGCGCCGCGCATGGACACCCGAGATATCAGAGGCGTTAAAAGTGCGTTACCGACCTTTTGGGATTAGGAATTTGAGGATTGTTGGGGATTGCGGAAGGGCGTTTTGTTTCACGTCGATTTTCTGTCGTTATCTACCCTGTCATCATCTAATGGTTGAAATAAATTAATATATAAAACCAACTGTTTTATGAATGAAAGGAAACAAGCAAGAATTTGTGTATCAGAAATGTACGAAGTACATTCTTAGCAATAACTTTTGCTTCCGTTAGCTTGTTTTATATATAGACATCTATCGACACAACCTGGAACTGAAACGAAGGGCTTGGCTTGAAGCAAAAGGGTTTACGTAACTAAAGTTGGAACTGAACAGTGACCAGACGCTTGCACTGAAGTTAAAGCTTCCCGCTAGATGGGGCTAGTAGTTAAATTTTCAGCGTTTTTCATCTGCCCAAATCAATCCCTAACAGTTTGGATGGTAGGTGGAGGGTTGTAGAACCCTTAAATAGTATGAAACATGGCACTTAATTGTGATTACCGATACCTACAGAGACAACAAAGGTCCTAAATATTAGGTAATTTATACTTCAAAAAACTAAATATATTTAAATTCTTGGTCGGGCCACGGAATCGAATTCGAAGCGCATTTCGGCAGTTACACACGTACACAATCGATCTTCTCATTGTAAAAACTTAAAACTCATGGTCGTAGGCTGTCTTATTGTTAATTAAGCCAATCTGAATAAATAATACAACAGATGATTAAAAATATTATTATCTCTCCATGTACCTATTGCATTTTACTCACTAGGCTCAATAGGCTCACCCCCTATTAAATGGGACTCATAACATAAATAGTGAAAAGTGTTACATAATACAGTGGCATTAAGTGTCGTAACGTGCACCTCTGCCTACCCCTTCGGGGACAAAAGGCGTGATGTTATGTTATGTCTTGCATTTCATATTTTAATAAAATATGTTCGTTCATATATTCGAATACCACGCAATATTTGTACATCGATCTTTCAACCAGCCGGCCCTCGCTTTGTGTTCCAGATCATACTGCAGTCATTTGTCATCCTATTTATTGTTTAGGAATAAAAGGTTCGGAAAATCAATAACGTATTAAATTGGGGTCATATAACATCCCACGTAAAATCTGCGTTTCAATCGAGTGAAATGTGGTCAAAGGACTTGTAAAAATTATTTGTATGCTATTATTTTTTTAAAATTTTTTGCGTGTCCAAATCCTTACTAATATCATAAATGGAAAAGTGAGTTCGTTTGTTTGTTCGTTCCGCTTTCACGCCGTAACTACTAAACCGATTGCTTTGAATTTTTGCAGACGTAAAGTTAGAAGTCTGGATTAAATAATGGGGTACTTTTTATCCCA